CTATCTGGTAGGTAAGGGAATAGGACCTAATAGAAGACGTGTGTAGGAAACTAAAAACTTCAATTGTGTTTTAAACGCAAGGGATGTTTATGAGAGACATTATGACTATGACTGCATTCTTCGCTTGACTAACTAGGAAGGGTAGGGAGGGAGTAGTACAAGGGGGTTCTAGCGGACTAAACTTATTGCTTTTGCCGAGCGAGACATTCTTTGCAAACAACAAACGATTTTCAACAGCTCTTCTCCTAGGTTGACTATCATACATATTCTTAAAGCCTTACTACTTACCTATTCTGCCTATACTAAGCGATGTTCTACTATGCTAGAGCTGTCTTTATTTAACTCCTAGGGTGCTTCTAGCAGCCTGTTACTAGCCCACTTACTAGTGGCCACTCTTTCGAGATATACATATATAGCTACACAGCAGCCTCACTTCGCCCGTGGTACCTCTAGAGGAAAAAGGTTTAAAGGCTACCTAGCCTCTTAACGGCTTTCTCTAAGGACTCTCTCTTAGCTTCTGGCGATGTAGAAACAGACATGCCTTTTGGGAAAGTAAAAAGGGCATCGCGCAGGAGACGTCTCTCTATGCTTGGGCCTCAGCCAAGGAGACAGAAAAGGCGAGACGACACTTCTGCTGATGATCAGAACGTTCGGCGGACAGGCCCCCAAGATGTCGCTCCTCCAACAAGCAATAGTAACTTACTCCCTAGGCGAGGGGAGGCTTTGCTATACCTACCATCAGGTAGGACCAAGCAGTACCCATGGACGGACGATCGCTCTACCGATTTGAGTGGGTATCCGTCCTCTACGTACTCGGTTCTTTATCCAGACGCCCAGAGATTCCTCCTGGGAACCGCCGTGGTTCGGTTATCAGACATGATATTTTCGTGGAGTGGCACCTATGCGAATCGGAGATTAAATATCGGTAATGCCGACAGCCTGAAGAAAAGGTTTGCAGACCATGGCCTGCAGAGGCACCTACAGGTGCATTTTATGCAAGCGGCAGTATTTGAAAGCGACTTCCGCCAGATGAAGACGTACCTTGGAGACAATACCCTACCAGCAGCGCCTACAACTTCCTATTTATCTTTCTTAGATTGGGCCAAGGTAAACAAAAACAAGATCGAAATAATTGCTGGGCAACACCGAGCTAGTGCGTTAGAAAGCCTTCTAACTGAGTATGGCGACACTGACCCGACTTCTGATGAACGCTAGTAGATATGCGACCTATATAGCAAGGAACGGTTACCTGACTATATTCGCTCCGCGTTAGGCGTTCATAGTAACGTCGAGCGACGCGACTTCATGCGAGCGCCCCATGGTGTGCTATGGGGAGCTGTAGAATGCATGCTCTCTGCAGGAGATCCACTGCTTACGGCGACACATGGGGGGAATACTGGGGAGGGAACTGCCACAGACGACTTTACCGGTCTAGAATCGTATATCTGCTATCGACTCCAGATACCTAGCGACGGACGTAATAAAGGAATACCTACACGTCGCTTGGTTACCCTTTGGAATAACACAACATGGCGCCCTCTTATTTCAGCATGGTGTTCGACAGAAATTGGCCGGGATACATTTAATATCTCGAGATTTGAATGGATGATGCGTACCGGAGTTGAAGATGTAAGTATCTATTAATCCCCCTACTATAGTAATCTTCCCCGCCTACTCTCTTCCCTCAATCCTTCTCTCTTTGTTTCCTGGTTTTCTTTCGTTTGTTAAGGTAAATGCTTGTTTTGATCTATTTCATGTCTTATAGGTGTTGATTCAGAGTAATCTGTTTTGGATACTGTGACTATCCATGTATAGAGGATAAACGCTAACGACTTTTATTGGTATTTTCTAAAAAAAAGATCTGGCTCCAATGGATCCATGATGTACTTTGCTCTATAGAGCATTTAAAAGAGACCTTTCAACTTCCGCTAAACCTATCGCTAAAGGACTGGGAAACCTTGCGTGGGTTGATTGGTAAGGGTGTGTCAACCCGTGGTTTATTCAACTGCTTGAAGGAAACCTCCTCTTGTAACCTGGACAACATCGCGCAAGCTAGTCGTACGAGGCACCAAAGCTTGCATTATAGTACACGTGGCGAACATGTCTCACGACCGGACTTTGTTTCTGATTCGACTATCTCTATATACCAACTTTTCGATATCAAAAGACACTTAGGTATAAATAAGGAGGATATTAAGATCTTTTCCCGACTTATGTACCATGTTAGTGCGTGGGTTCTTCCGACTTTCCACGACGGGTCTTATCAGAATCACATGGGAGCATCATACCGAAAGGCCTTTCTGGAGTCTATCCACACGGTTCTTACCCGCTGTAACGATCCAGCCTTTGAGCCCCCGGTGAGGATATCTCAATTATGCAGCTTACTAGGTGTGGATTTACGGAGTATGTGCCGCTTACCGATGGGTCTGGAACCGGATTACGCCATCAGTAGTGGTACACCAGCACAGCCGCTACGCTATTACCACTCGATATTGGACGAATCGACAACATCCCAAAAGTCACTCCAAACTTGTTTAGCAGAGGTGATCTCTATCGAAATACAAAACGATATTTGGAGGGCGATACATCCGTTGCTACCGACTTGGAGATCTCCCTCTAATACCCACCTGATGAGCTTTTTAAATAGCCCTGCAACGGATATAGAGGGCGATAAATACCTCCGCCGCTTTCAAGTTCCAGAGACAATACATAGTGGCCAAAGGTGGACGGTATGGCGAGATACCCTCACCATCGTCCGGAAGTGGCTGGATTCGGTCTCACGTCCAGGAACCATCATAAACATCCCTTCTGATCGAGCTAACTATAACGGGACCGAAAATAGTAGTCCTATAGTTAACGATCACCGATCAGGGTGGATGAGAACGGTATTAGCACCAGCTCGTACCATCACCCAGGCTGTTGATGTTGGTGAGGCACTCACGCCTGGGTTGATTCCGAGACTTATATCCCAAGGATTTGACAATCTCATCATGGGGAAATCACTCCCACGTGATATGAAGCTTAAGGCTCACTATACACTAGCAAGAGATATCCTTCATCAGCTAGTAGAACAAAGAGATGGCATTTGCGAACTGATAATGATAGCTGCTATAGTATTTGGCAATGCTAGCTGTACACCCTTTACAAAGGCGGATATGGAGGACTTTCAGCCAACGCAAATAGCGCCTACATTAGGTGCCGAACGTGCCGCATGCCTTGTCATTAGGGCCCTCTGGTTTTACCAACCGCTTTCATTTGCCGAGGCTGAGGAGAAGTTTACGATTGCCACGAGAAGGGATCTTAATAGAAGAGTGGGTATGTGGTTATAAACTCCGGTTTTCCCTTTCTTTCTTCCCTCTCTCTCCTTTTTCTTTTTTCCCTAAATCCCTCCCCTGTTTCATTTCTCTTAAAACCCCTTCGTTGGTTTTCCTAGCGTTATTTATCCTCTTAGCGTTTCCTAATTTTATTACTACCTAATATTAGGAAGGCTAAAGATTATATAATATCTTTCCCTATATTGCATTAGGAAGTTATATATGCTAATTTAAGGTAAATAACCTAGGTTTCCCTGGTCTAAGTCACCATACTCTGATAAGGCTTCGATGGTGTAATGTTGAAGGGGATAGGTCTGGCTGTATTGAGTTTGCAAGCAAGATACGGTTTAAACCGAAGGATGAGCTCCTTGCACTGCGGAATATTTTAGTTGGCAATGTTAACTCTCCGGAGGCATTTTTCTGTGAGCTTTTTGGGACACAAAACGGTCAGAAATGGATGTCGACATGTGCTTCAATACTACATAGTAGGACACATGATTAATATAGTTTATATTTATATATATTTAGTTGGAAATAAACTTGCTTCCACTATCACAAGATCTTACTAAACCAAAGCAGGCGGGATAAATAACGAATAAGAAATCTTTACGTTCTTTTATTGAAAATATAATTTAACTCTATAGCGCTGGTATATATCCACTTAGGAAATATAAAAGAAGTATTACTATTCTCTATATATCTTAAAACCACGTCTTATCTTTCTATTCTATTATATTTCTAACATGTATTACTAGTATATAGCTAGAAAATATTATTATGTTGGTGATAGATTCTCATATACGTATGTTTTCATCAGATATTAAATTTACTATGACTATTTATCGCCTATATGCACGTCTTTCTTCGCCTATGCTATGGCTAACAAATAACGTAATAACCGGGATCTCTAGTTTATCTGAATTTCGCGGTAGACGAATTTCAAAACGGCTTACTAGATCAAACCATTCCGAGTTGCCTGGGTTCCGGGAAGTAAGACTGGGAGACACAACCCCTTTAAATAGGAATTGATGGAATCTTTCTCCCCGTGGCCAGAGTTCGATAGAAGGCGTCCCACTTTTATCGGTGGAATTTATCGCAAACTGATCTAGAACTTCCCTAGGCGCCCCTAACCTTTCGAGGATAGCATAGGTCTCCTGAATCGGGCGCGTAATAATTCGTTGGATAAAGGCGGCGATAATGATTGGGTAAGGACCTTTAGTAAACCTTATGGATGAACCCATTTCCAGTGATTGCCCGTCAGTGTCGCAAATGAATCTTTTGTCGCTAGTCTTGGGATTAAGGATTGTCAAAAAGGGTGGTAGGCCAGGGGCGCTGGAAGCGATGCACACGCAGAGCGCCTAGGATGCCAGGAAGGCGCTAGGAGGAATGTTTGGCCGAGGACCGCGCTAGGTGCGCTTAGTCACAGGGAACACGCCGGAAGAAGGCGCGTAAGGGATACGGACAGGTCTTAGGAAAAGAAGAAGCACAATACACATCACGATTGACCCCTGAATGTGCGCCTACGAATATTCGAACAATTAACAGTCTGATTACCTACCAATTGGCCTACCTACAGGCAAAACGAAGCTATTCGAAGATCCGATCAACTGCAAAACACACGAACACCCCGTTTACGTCCCTCAAAACCCACGCGATAAGCCCGAATCAATAACGACATAAGCAAAGATGGAATCCATTGTCCTCAACAACCCCAGTCAATGGCCAACCTGGTATAAGGTTTTCCAGGGTAAAGCCACCGACTTGGACGTCTGGGAGCAAGTGGATCCCGGCGCCGAAAACCCCGAGAAGCGGATGCCGAAGCCGGAGCCTCCGGCCTTCTCCGACTACAAGAAGAAAGGTATACCGCGACATACCCGCGGATCAATCATCGAGGTGTCACAGACACCAGATATCGAAGAAGTTCGATCGAACGAGACGGCTAGAAGCCTCCAAGACCTTGTCAAGGAGGACCGTGAGGAGTATGTACAGCTCCGGAGCGACTACAACCATGATATCCGTATCTACGAGCGTGAAGCGGCTGCTCTACGAGAGCTCCGCAACTGGGTCCTATCGACAGCAGCCGAGAAGTACGTCAATGCGTGCTGTAAACCTACGGAGACCCTCCAAGCCTGGATGGTCAAGCTGAAGGGCGTGGCCTCGATCTCGAACAATGAACAAAAGAGCGCCGCGCGTGAGGAGTACGAGAAGACCGTCAAGCAAGCGGCTACAAAGCGGATAACCACGAAGGCCGAGATCGAGAACTGGCTCGAGCAATGGGAGGCCGTAATGTTGAAGGGACAAGAGGTCAACCTTGCCTAGACAAGGGACTTCAGCGAGTGGAGCGAGGACTTCCTAAAGGTCATTGCGAAGACCGCTATTTCTGCGTTCTACGCTACGTTCGAGGCGAAGTTCTACGAGTCGGACAACCCCTCGATTAGCGAGATCTCTGCGGAAGTACGACGATATATACGAATCTACGCAGATACCCTATCGACAGGACCAAGAGCCTCAAGAGGTGCCTTTGCTACAACAAGAGAAGGACCCAAGGAGACCATGCCTCGGAGTATAACCAAGAAGCGACATAGGGCCGCCGATTCGCGGACCCAAAACGAGATGCTAACGTGTCACGGATGTGATCTGCTACGATACCTACTTGCCAACTGCTTCTACTGCTTCCCAGAGGAAGCGTATGAAGGATGGAGGCCTAGCAACGACATCATGAAGAAGGTCACCGAGCGTCTCAAGGCCGATGACGACCTCGCGGACCGCGTGAAGAAGATCCGTGAACAACGCGAGAAGGAAGCGAAGCAGACCTGACTGTATGGTCGGTGTATGGGGTCAGCCAACGCATCGTGGAGGAAGCAGTATACGAGTGACCGTTCTGCGTTCATGATCCGGACTGAGTACCCCTTACACAACTCTGCGATATACGACTCAGGATCATCGCTACACGTGTTCAACAACCGGGCTCGATTCTCAGGTTTCAGAGCAGCTGAACCAGGGGATTACCTATGGGCAGGAGCCTCACAAGTCCCAATCCTAGGGTATGGAAACGTGGATATAACGGCTGACGCTGAGCGGGGGAAGAAGGTAAGACTCCGCTTATACAACGTCGCTTACTGCGAAGAATTCGCAACGAATCTAGTCTCCTACCGCCTTCTACGGCAACGAGGGATGTGGTGGGATAACCGCCCAGGCCAGAATTGCGTACGAAGAGCGGATGGGACACTCGTCTGCTACCTTCACGATCTCCATGGACAACAGGTTATCGAGGACAATACCAAAGCAGGATTCGTCACGCAGGCGAAGCAGCGCCACACATCGTTTACACCGCGCAAAAGACTCGCAGGAAGACCGTTCAGATGGCACCAGAGACTGGGTCACCCGGGCGAGGGGGTGCTGGAGCACCTCGTCAACGCCTCTCGAGGCGTGAAGATCATGGGTGACCTACGCAACAAGCTGCCTGACTGCTCAGCGTGTGGAAAAGGGAAGACAAGACGAATTGTTCGACGTGCCCCACGCGAGTCTATAGCGTGGGCAAAACCAGGATCAAGAGTGGCGTTCGACTTTCACTCGATTAGCCCTCAAGGATACGGAGGCTATATGTCTACGGTAATACTCTCTGACCGACTAACAGGATACTCGTGGGACTACTACCTTAAGGACCGTACAACAGAGACGCTCCTCGAGGTATTCGATCTCTTCATGGCCATGATGAAGACGCAATATAATATACAGGTCAAAGTCTTCGAATGTGACCGCGAGGTTGCAACGATTCATCAGCAAGTCGCTACTCACCTTCAATCTCAAGGGGTGGTCCTCGAACCCTCTGCGCCCAATACGCAGGCCCAGAACGGAGGCGCCGAGCGAATCGCAGCAGTTATCAAGGAGAAGGCTAGGACCCTTCGCGAGGCAGGCAAGTTCCCTGAGATGCTGTGGCCCGAAATCGTTGCCGCCGCGACGTATTTATACAACAGGACGCCGTCAGCGGCGCGCGGCTGGAAAACGCCCTTCGAACGGTTCCATAATCAGTTTCGCGGCCCAGATCTCGGGAAGCCTCATCAAGCCCACCTTCGAGCGTACGGCTGCAAAGTGTATGCGCTCACAACAGACGCACAGCTAGGCAGGAATAAGTCGAGAAAGCTTCAACCGAGAGGATGGATAGGCTACCTCATTGGGTATAGTACTAGCAACTCCTACCGCGTGTGGAATCCGCTTACTGCCCGCGTTATCACAACGCGAGACGTTGTGTTCAGGGAAACCGAGTTCTTTAATAGAGATATCAACGAGCTGCGGGATAACCTCAAAGACCTCGACGTGAACGAGCTCAACGCTCTTCTCGCGCGACTAGAGGTCTCGCCTACAGGGATAACATCTCCAGAGTACGCACACACCGCAGACGAAGAAGTCGATGAAGTCCAGTACATTGAAGACGAAGAGGCACAAGAATACACCGCACCGCCGTCGCCTAAGTACGTGGAGTCACGATTCGAACTCAATACACCACCGCGGACGCTACCCACCTCGTTCTTCGCAGGCCTTGAGGAGGCACTCGGAGTGAAGGGGTGGAGGAAGAGACGTGCTTCGATCGCTCCTGAGGCGGTTCATGCACGCGAATCGATCCACGAAGAGTTTCCAATTACCACTCCGCGTACCTCCTGGCAAGCCGCTTTCCTCGGCGGCACCAGAACGGGTAGAAAACGAGTGAAGATGAAGCAAAAGGCGAAGAACGCCGATACCAGCCTGGAAGCGGTAGTATGTTGGAACAACAGACTCGAAGGTCTCACCGTAGCCGGACGTGGTAATGGTATGAACCCTGCCCCTGGGCCCAGGAGGAGTCTTAGAAACCCTGGGTGTGAGCGTGCCTTCGACCTCCGTCAGGGAAGAAACCACGTTGATTCGAGGGTAAAGGAAGACCTTCCCTCTGGGCTAAGCTCCCACAACGGTAGGCCCGTGTCAGGTGACGGGGGGCCCGCGGTTGAGACCGTGGCCTCTAGCGTTCCGGGAGAGGACCGTCCTCTGCCCCAGCGAAAAAGCCAAGCAGGCGTACTACCCCCAGTGCCTCAGAAACATGCCGATCTATACGGCCACCCCTACGAGAGGGGATTCCGAGAAGCGGAAGAGAAGCACCTCGCGAGCCACGATGAGATGGATACATACGTCGTCGTGGACCGTAGAGAAGCCGCCGGGCACCAGATCCTGGGTTGCCGGTGGGTATACGTCTATAAAACGGACGAGAAGGGAGCACTCCAGAAACTCAAGGCAAGGATCGTTGTTCGAGGAGATCAACAGGCTAAAAACGCTTTCAAGGATACATACGCTGCGACCCTCGCTGGACAATCGTTCCGAACCCTTATTGCCACCGCGGCCCAGCAAGATCTTACCTTACTGCAGTACGACGCAGTTAATGCCTTTGTCCACGCTCCGATCGACGAGACAGTATATATGGAGTTTCCACCGGGCCATGAGCAGCAGGGGAAGGTCCTGCGGCTGAAGAAGGCTCTATACGGCCTTCGCAGGTCCCCTCTACTGTGGCAACGGCATCTAGAGAACGGTCTGAAAGCAATGGGGATGGAACGCGTCGCAGGCGAGAATTGCTGCTGGCGGAAGGGACGCGTGCTCTTCTTCTTCTATGTCGACGACTGTGTTCTCGCGTTTCCCCCTGAGTGTAGAAACGCTGCTGAGCGCCTCATTAACGGGCTCAAAGAGAAGTACCACCTGGAAGGCGGAGACCCTCTTCACTGGTTTCTAGGAATCGAGGTCACGCGCGACCGAGCCAAGAAGAAAATCTGGCTATCTCAGGCAGCATACGCACAGAAGATCGCACGGTTGATTGGTCAAGGCACACATAAAGGATCACAGAGGAAGAACACTCGATTTACGACACCTATGACGAACGAGGAGCTACTGCCCGCCGAGGAGCACGCCTCAAAGAGCGAAATAACGGCATACCAACGAAAGATTGGATCGATCCTATACTTGGCGGTGATGACGCGCCCCGATATCGCCTTTGCTGCAAGCCGTCTGGCGAGGTTTAACCAGAATCCCTCTCAGAAGCATCATCGCGCTGCAGATCGAGTATTGCAGTACATCTTGGACACCTGCTTCCTTAGTCTCGAGTACGATGGCAACAACAAGAGTTTCGAAGTCGCATCAGACGCCAGCTTCGCAGATAACTCGCTAGATCGAAAGAGCTCTCAGGCGTACGCACTACGGCTTGCTGGAGGATTGATCGGATGGAGAGCGAACAAACAAGACACAGTCACAACATCAACGACAGAAGCAGAGCTTCTCGCCCTCTCACAAGCAGCACGCGAAGCTATATTCGTTAGCCGTCTGTTGAGTGCTCTTAATACGACGATTCCAAGCGGCGGAATAACGATCCAGTGCGACAACCTCCAGACGATTCGAATAGTAACTGAGGAACTCGTGACTCTAAAGACGAGGCTTCGTCACGTTGATATACACAACCACTGGTTGAGACAGGAGGTTGAGAACGGCACCATCAACGTCGTCCACACACCAACGAAAGACCTTGTTGCGGACGGACTCACGAAGAGCCTCGCAAGGCAACCGTTTGAAGACTTCATAAAACAGCTCAACTTGGTGAAGAAGGAGACGGAACCACTACGCGAAGAGAGGGACCCTCTCGCAGAGACCGCATGGAGCGGAGGGATCTTTGAAGGAGGAGAGGAATAAGGAAGAAGTCGGTTGGCCTGCCACCCCTAAGGGTAGCCTCCGCTGCTGCGTATGAAGCGCGCAGGAGCGCCCTAGGACCGAGGTCTCGAGCCGCGAAGGCTAAAGGGGTGTGTCAAAAAGGGTGGTAGGCCAGGGGCGCTGGAAGCGATGCACACGCAGAGCGCCTAGGATGCCAGGAAGGCGCTAGGAGGAATGTTTGGCCGAGGACCGCGCTAGGTGCGCTTAGTCACAGGGAACACGCCGGAAGAAGGCGCGTAAGGGATACGGACAGGTCTTAGGAAAAGAAGAAGCACAATACACATCACGATTGACCCCTGAATGTGCGCCTACGAATATTCGAACAAGGATTATGCCTTGACAGAGGTGATTCGGCATTAGGTGCCTATCGTTATAGTAACCCTTTGGGGAGGGACGATAGCATTTGAAGCAGTTACCTTTCGGCAAGACAATATACGGCGATCTTGAGGCTTTTAAAAGACTGGTTAAGGCTGTTTGTATGGTTTCCCCGGGAGTTTTGCTAACCCTCAGATTGGCGTGTGGGCATTCAATTGGTATATGGTCTTTTACTTCCTGTGAATCGAATAGCCAGCAGAATATGCAGAAACTTTCGTTCTTAAACAAATAGCTGATAAGATGAAGATCTTCGAAGGCGGTAAGGAAACGATCGAACGGTGGCTTGCTTTGGATTACTCCAGGTGTTACTTGCTTATCTGAAGTGTAGAAAAAAAAGAAGAAAAGACCAATATTAGTAAAGTAAGACTAAACCTTTTTTGTTAAGAGGTAATAATACATACCAGACCTTATAACCCTCGGCGGTGTAATCAGGCCGATGTTCTGGGGCGGTGAGGAGAATTCAAAACCTGGATGGCGTATTGCAGTCGCTGTCTGTGGTGCCTTTTGCTGAATTGGATTACGAAGGCAAGTGGCATTAGCCTGGCGATCTTCTTGGTGTATGTTTGGGTTGTGTATAGACATATTAGGAGACCGGATTAAGGATTGAATGTTTCTGGGGTTTGAAGACTGATACTGTGGTATTAAAATTAGCCTGCTGCTTCAATGTATATATCGAGGTATCTTATTAGTAGACGGGAAATTATCTTGTCGTAACGTAGTATAAGGGACTTCCTAAGGTTGCGGAGACTAAAACAAAAGGATAGACGAGAGGGGGAATAACTTAAAATGTTAGCTTACACTGGGACTCTCCTGGTGAACAAACGTTGCTCTCTGGGTCTTATCGATTTCTCTTATGGTATTGTAATTATCCTGGGGGAGCTTCTTTCCTGTTTCGTTTAATCCACTATCGGCCGGCTCGAAGTGTTCTACATCGATAACATCTTCACCTGTGATGTCAATGTAATCATCATTTATAGTACTGACAAGATGGGCGATAGGGAGCTCTTCTTTAGAGGGCCTATTGACATGTTTTGCCCTCTTTGATGCTGGTTCTTGGTCCTGAATAAGCACTATCTCGGTGTTGTCTCGCTTTGAACTTTTGACTGGCTCTCGGAAATAGCGCGGCCGGTCAGGTCCGTCTGTTGTCGGGGTAAATGGTTCTTGAACCTGACCTAGGAACGACCTAGGGTCTCTATTGGGTGTTGGTAACTGATGTCTTCCGGGAAGAATGGCATGAGGCAGTAATGGTCCTCCCGCCAGTCTTGTACTACTAGGTTGGTTGGGACCTAATGAGAAGACCTCGCGACTGTTCCGTCCCTTGATGCTCCTTGTTGTATATATGGATGAGACACCGGCTTGGTTATTGCTCCTGGCGATGATTTCAGATAAGTCTTTACGCTTATGGTTTACTATGGCGACTTGTGGTTTACTGAGACTAGAAATGTTTGTTGGATATATCGTGACCTCTGGATTAGATCGTATTGTTACCGCCTCTTTGGAACTGATTAAGCTGTGTCCGATCGTTCGAGCCTCGCAGAGGTCGCAAATCTGTTCTCCAAGGGCTTCGTCACATTTGATCCGGCGGCTGTTGCGATCGAAGTATCTGCAGAGTGGGACACGTCTGCATTGCTTGGTATGAATGAATTCGAGCACTACCCGGCGGCTTAGATCGTTGATTTGGTACAACCGCTTGGAATCGGACTCTCCGAAATGATCCGGAATAATACAAGGCGCTATATCCTTTGAGGAGGGATCCTTTGCTGGTGCGAGGACGGAGGCTGTCCCAGGGTTCCCAAACCGAGCAACTCTGCCTAAGATTTGGGCTAAGGTCTCTGCGTCGGGAGGGTAATCTTGAATGACGATGACTATGGTATCTGCATCGTAGTTGACTCCTTCGCCGAGGATGGTGGTTCCGAATTGGATATTGCGGGGTTGGCTTGTTACCTCATGGGTTGTGGAGACGTCTTGAGGGGATGCATAACTCTCTATAGGCGTCCAGGCGCAGGGGGCCCTAGCCCACTTATATAAAGCTGCTTTTGCGACCTGGTGTTTGGCCTTGGGTCTATCTGCGTTGTCTGCGCAGTATAGGGTATAACCGAATCTCTCTGCGATCTCTATAGACTTGTGTAGCTTGCCGAGAAGGATTACTAGGACTTTCTCTGGCCTTGGCAGGTGCCTGGTGACTTTGTTGTCTTGGTATATCAGCTTCTCCAGGATTGTATCTCTCTCGATGTCATCGGTATATGTATCGACGGTATACCTGATTTGTAATCGATCGGTTGACGCCCGAAAAACAACGTCTGGGAAGGGCTCTGGACCGTCCTTCTGCAGCCCCTCTTTCACGGCCAGGGCGTCTAGGTATAGTGTTGCGTTTTCCCGGGCTTCTTCTACCGACCGGTAGGCACGCCCGCGTAGAGCTCTGAGCAGACCGACTAGTTGATACTCTCTCACGGGGGCGAATGTTGCAGTGAGAAGGACCCAGCGGGGGATGCTACCGAGCCGATATAGTACGTGGTGGAAAGCAGTCCGGAAAGGTTTGGGTTTATACACTGATCCGAAGAGATTGTGGCACTCATCGAATATGACAGTATCTAATAGTCTGTCGGTTATGAGGCTTGTGATTAGACTGTTGATTTGGCATGGCTTGCCAGCTGCGTTATGGATGGCCTCGGGCGTGGATATTATGACGCGTGTGCTGAGGTGTGAAAACTTCACTGTCCCTTCAGAGAGTTGCGTGGAGGTTACTGCTACTATGCCGGCTGCCTGAGCGCTCTGGAAGGTGCTCTCCAAGAGGGTCGTGAGGGGGACTATAATTAGTGTGACCCCAGAGTCCCCAACGACGGCTGGGGCTAAAGCAATTACTGTCTTTCCC